ACTTTCAACCAAAACAAGATTGAACAAATAACTATTACTGACCATTATCAAGTTAAGCACAAAAAGATGATTACTAACGAATTGATTTTGAATATTCTAACCGAAGAAATCAATGGTAGAAGAATGAGACCTCGCAAGAATCACAACGGTCGTGACATTTACGTTCGAGAATGAATTCCGTATGGAGAAAGAGATTATCGACTAGTATTTTGGTTTAAAGATAATACTATTAACCATTTATGGATTAGGAATTGTCATTTGCAGGATTAGTTATTTACTTCTTTACTTTTATTACCTACCCTGATATTTACTTACTAATACCCTTTACCCTTATACCCTTTTTTAAAAAAATTAACCAATTATGAATTTTATCAATTTAAGTTTAGCCGTATTTGTCGGCAGTTATGTTTTGCCTAGAATATTTGTCATTATGGGCGTTACTGGAAAAAATAGATATTTAGAAATTTATGGGAAGAGATAAAAGAAAAAGTAGAGGTCGAACAGGTAGTAGTCAATTTACTAATGCCGCCGATCTACAAAATCGTTTCTTTGCTGAAAGTGAAGAACGCCGAAAAAAAGGTGATAAAACAACCGGTGATGCAGGATACTGAAATGGTGGTCGTTGTAATTGAGGTGGAAGTCATAACTTACAAGAAGACTGTGAAGCATTAGCCAAATTTTTCAATGACACTAACAGTATAGCCGATGATGTAGAGCAAATTAAGTTATCGGCTAATGAGACAGTATTCAATCAGAAAAAGCAAGCTCTAACTTCTAAAATCAAGAATCTTAATAGTAAATGTAATGTGACTGAAAGTTATTCAATAACTAATGTTTGTTGTATTTGAAATGATTATTTTGGAAAATTTTTGAAACCATTTTTAAATACTTTTTCTGCCAAGTTATCTAGACAATTAAGTGAAGTAGAAAAGTTGACACCTAAACACCAGCAAGAATTACTCAAATTAGAGCAAGAAGCACGAGAATTACAATCTGCTTATGATGAAAACGTTAGAAAAGCCAATGATCCTAATACTAGTCCAGAAGACAAAACCAAATTTTTAATATTGGCTAATCAAATATCCGAAAAAGCAAAAAGATTAAAGTCAAAGATCAAGCAAAATCCCCTTGCCGATTTAAGCAGATTTAGTAATTTAGATGATCTAACAACACTTTTAGGAGGTAATGTTCCTAAAAACCTTCCTTCTAACAAAAAGAAAGACCCAAAAAAAGATAATGATAAAGGTGGAGGAGGTAATAACAATCCCAATCCACTTGAAGAACCTAATGAATTTTTTGAAAAATACAAAAAAGAAATCTTCATCGCCCTTGCTCTATTCATGGTATTATTCCTCCTTTACACTCAAAAAGACACTGAAGATGAAGACACTAAGGAAGATAAAAAACTTATGCGACAAATGATGCTGATGAAAACAATGAGTGGCAAACAACAAAATGAACAGTAATGAAAAAAAAGCAACAACAGCAATTAATAATGGTTCTTTTACTATGTGCAGTTGGTTATTACTTCTCAGTTTACTTACCAGAAGAAGAAAATAAAAAGAAGAAAGAAAAGGAGGAAACAGATGAAGAGAAAGTAATGACCCCAGAGGAATTAGAAGCAGATGCCTGAGATAAAGGAAGAATTTGAGAATTACCAGTTCATAGTTGAGCTGACCGAGAAGTGAAGAAGTTCAGAAGTACATTGGTTAGAAAATACCAAGAAGATGCTATGGTTTTTCCTGATGGAGATAAAAATAAAAATTTTTACTTTTCCCGCTCCGCTGTCTATAAAATTCATTTTCCTCCTGCTCTGCAAGAATATTATGAAAAGGCTCAAGAACATGATATTGATAGCACTTTGTTAGATAAAACTGAAGATCTAATTCTATCAGAAGAAATTAAGTCTTGGGAAAGAAGAGTAGCAGATAATCCGGTGCGAGGCGAACCTGATTCAGATAAAAAAGATAACAGTGCTTTGCTCTACGGTGCTCCTGGAACAGGAAAAACAGCTACTATGAAAAATATCTGCGTGCTAGCCGATAAATATCCATTAGTAGAAATAAAAGGTTCAGCCTTAACTCCTACTAAAGATGACCAAGAATCAGGACTTTTGCCTCTTAAAAAGTTTCAATACACAATTAGCGAATTAGAATGAGCACTAGTTAGAGAATGTGGCTTTGAAAGAGAAGAAAACGGCGAAGTGCGTTATATTCTATTTGTAGATGAAGCCGATCAAATTAGCAATAATGCTCTAACTCATGACCCCACGAAATTAAGGTTCCTGAAAGTCTGCTTAGAAGGAGTAGATAAACTTTCTCGAAGTGGTAATCTATGAGCATTTGCTACTAATTATCTAAAAGATATTGATAGTGCTGTTTATCGGGAAGGAAGATTAAGCAATCCTTTGGATTTTAGTTGAACTTGGGGTGAATTTAAGAAGTATGCTGAGCAGTTTGGTATTTATGACCAATTACCAGAGAGATGACAAGAGACAAGTTTTTTAAGTCCTGAGGATAATCAGTGGGTGAAAAGATTTAACACAAAACTTTTTCAAAAAGAATTCTTAGGAGATGACCCTGACAAACCTGATAGAAAAAAATTTTGAGACTTATTCATTGAAAATAATCCTGATGCTCAGTATGACCCTAATGAGGATGAAAAGGAAAGTAAAAAAGAAAAAACGGAGTTAAAAGATATTGAAATAGGTGAGTTTTTAGAATTCTTTTGGGGCTTATATGATAGTAGAGACTTAATGAACTACGATGGTAAATTTAAAAATGTTCGAAAACCAACCGTGGAAAAAGTGTTAGAAGTTCAGTTCACAAATCTAATCAATAGAATTGATGAACAATTAGATGATATAATTATTGAATTAAAAGACACTAGAGAAGATAAAAGGGAAGAAATAAGAGCCGATATCAAGAAAATATTTGAAATACTAGGAAAAAGATAAAAACATGAAAGAAAAAATAACAAAATTAGAAATAAAAATAACCAAAATACAAAACATTATAAATAACTGAAAACAAGAAATTATGAATTACGAAAATACATTAACAAAAATTAAAAAAGAGGTTGTTGAACTAAAAGGCAACTCTAAAAATACCAAATAATTATGGGATTCTGAAAAGGAATTTGTACTTGTATAGGTTGTGTAGCAGCAGTAGGTATTTGTGTCGCTAGTGCGGGAACAGCAACCCCTTTTGTAAGTGCAGCAGCAGCTCCTTGATTAATCGGTGGAGGTGCTGTTGGTGGTTACTTAGTTGGTAATCAAGCCGATAAAGAAAGTATGGAAAGA